CCGAGCCCGCCCACGCTTTATAGCTAGGACTGGGCAGTCTGCGAGCCCTACGGGCGCCCCCAGCGTTCATGGCCTCGAAGGCTTCTTGAGCGAGCGTCAGAGCACCATCCCAATCCCCAGGGCACGGAGCAGGTCCCACAGGAGCCTCAACAGGAAGGTCGGGGGGGCGGCGGAAGGTGAGAGCCTTGGGGTCGCCGAGCGAACTGTGAAACTGCAACGTGACAGGGCGATAGGGGGGGGGGGGGGGGGCGAGGGGGGAGTCATCGGCGACCTTCACTTCCCGCAAACGGAGCCCCAGAGCCTCCGAGGGGACAAAATATTCAAAACAGCCAGGGGGGCCGCGCTGGGGAAGTGGGCGCGGCCACGGGTGCTAATCACCGACGCCCCAAGTTTCTTGCAGCAGTCGGACCTCTCAAGGACCTCAGGACAGAAGTTCCAGTCCGCCCCGACAATGAACTCACAACCAACTCCCTCGAGAAATTCCCCCCACGGCTCCAAGGATCTCCAAACTAGCTTCCGAAAGACCTTGGCCGTGGAAGAGATAGAGGGAGCAGGCGCAGAACGGAACACAACCAGGAACGTGCACCATGGCCGCGACGGCGTGCCCGTCGGCCAAGATGTGCTGCTCATTCACAAAAACTCCAAAACCACTACGAGCTAGAACAGCAACTCCGCTGCTGACTCCTCCACCTTCTCCAGGCACCCCCAGGCGCCCGCATGCGTTTCCAGCCGATGAAGAGCGAAGACTTGGATGCCTGGTCTATCGATAGCTGATCCCGAATCCGATGCTCCTGAGCGAGGACTAGGTACGAGTCAGAGGATTCCAAGTAGGTCTTAAGCGTGCCCCAGGAATTCGCGTCGATCGTCGCAACCTTCAGCCCTTCCGATAAAGGAACACATGGTAAAAAGGCGTCCCCTGCTGGGGCCGAGGCTGAAGCAACAGGTGGTCCACCTCGCGAAGCAGACCCGCAGTGCCGTGCCCCGACCGAGCTTGACGGCGACGCAAAAAGTAGCACTTCGGATTGTGGCAACCGTGCGCCCAGCTCCATCTCGCAGAGGGGCTGGCTGGACGGGGCGATGAAATTGGCAGCTGACGGATGCTGCCGTGACGCGCCAGGCAGCGGCAACCGAGCAACCTATTCCATACCGTGGGGCCCTGGGGGCATTCGAATTTTATCTGGAAGCAGTGGGGCAACAAAAGAAACGCTTCCCCTGCAAAACTCCAGACGCAACCTGAATGCGCCTAAAAAGTCTGATGCCCGTGGCTTGGACCCTGGAGCCGATCACCGAAGCACGAGACGCTAAAAAGTTGTAAAACTCCCAGGTAGACTTCGAGCCTGCGTCTCGTTCGGGGTCAACTTTGGGCCCCCCCCCTGTGCAGGAACGCCAGGGGGCGCCCTCAGTCGTCCGAGGCCCCATCGACCCTGGCCCGAAGCTCTGCCTTAGTTTGCTCGACGGCAGGAGCAGGTGCTGCACTGCCGGCGCCGACAAGCTCAGTAGGGGGCTCAGAAGATGCACTCGATACTGCTCCAGCGGCCGCGCCTCCAGCAGAAACTTCTCCACCCTCGGCAAGACGGCGCTTCTTTGAAGCCAGGCGCAGCTTGTGAGCTTCATGCGCAGCCCGAGCCTCCTTGCCGCTGTCCGCAACCTGTTGGAAAAGCTTCTGCGCCAGCTCCTGTACTCCCGACACCAGCGCCGCACGACGAGATTCGAACTCCTTCCTGTCCGCTTCCTCCAGCTCGACTTCACCAGCCGCAAAGTCCTCGAGGAGGTCGTCGCAACTGATGAAGGACTCGATGCTGAACTTGCCCGAGACAAGGCCACCAAGCTTGAGCGTGGCAGACTGCTTCTGGGGCTCGACCTTCGCGGCCTGCAGCTTGACCAGCGCTGACTTGCACTCGTCATCCGCCAGCTTGAGGCGGTCCCGAGTCTCACGTAGCGACAGCTCCAGCTCTGCGACATGCTCCTTGGCCTTCGTGAGGCGCTGCATGTCCTTTTCGGCTCGAGACTCAAGCTGCTGAACTTCTTTGTGCACCTTCTGCATCTGGGCATGTGCAGACAGCTCGGGCGGCGGCTTGTCAGCAGCCCCCAGGTGCTTCGCCATGAGGTCGTAACGCTGAGCTGCCAACTTATCCCCCGCCTTGTTGGACAGCTCTGACAGTTGACGTGCTTCGGCAGCGGTGACTGATGGGACAGGGCCTGCAGGAAGAGGCGGGGATCCACCTCCCGTTGTCCCATCTCCAACATCAGAAGAGTACTTGGCCTTCTGGGGCAGGTCCGACCAGCCGAACCAGCTCGAGCCAGAGTAACCCTTGCCGAAACCGAATTTGCCACCTTTGCCTCGTACTTCTTTGCCAGCACCACCTTTCCCACCATGGCCCTTGAAACCAGACCAGCTTCGAGGGGGCGCCGACATAGCCCACGAACTGCCAGAACGTGGACCCGGATAAGCACCAGCAGCCATGCGCGGAAGAAAGTTGCCACAATGCTTGCACGAAATGGCTTCGGGCGAGTTGCGTCGACACCCACATGACGGACAAGCAAACCCTGTCGCTGGCGGCTTCCTCCCTTTCCCTTTAAGCGTCCAAGCCCCATCTTCACCATGACTGGTCCCTGAGTGCGCCCACGGAGCATTCGAAAAGTGAGAAGAAGGGTCTGGGACCATCGAAGGAGTGTACATAGAGGAATATTCCGTACACGAAACGTAATGCTGAGAGTACCTGGCTCCGCCAGGAAAGCAGTCGGGGGCCGCAAAATCCCCCAGGTCAAGGCCTTGAGCGAAACGCTACGGACTTGAGCCAAAATGGATACGGAGCATCCTCCTCCTCCTCCTCCTCCTCCTCCTCATCCTCCTCCTCTTCTTCCCCCTCCTCCTCCTCCTCCTCCTCCTCTTCTTCCTCCTCCCCCCTCTCCTCCTCCTCTTCTTCCCCCTCCGCCTCCTCCTCCTCCTCCTCCTCCTCTTCCCTCTCTCTCCTCCTCCTCCTCCTCACCCCGCGACCCACCCGCGACCCACCCGCAACCGACCCGCGACCCACCCGCGACCCAGCCGCGACCCAGCCGCGACCCAGCCGCGACCCAGCCGCGACCCAACGGCGACCCAACGGCGACCCACCAGCGACCCACCCGTCACCCTGAAACTTGAAAAGTGATAACAGCTTCACAGATGGAGGGCGGGCCGCTTTCAAAATGTGGATCTCGCCTTAGCGCCGCGCACACTCGTTGTAAACAATTGCAAGAGTTTCACGGATTGAGGGCGGGTTCCTTTTCAAAATGCGGCTCTCGTCTCAGCGCCGCGCACATCCGTTTTAAACATCGCAAGAGTTTCACGGATTGAGGGCGATTCCTTTTCAAAATGTGGCTCTCGCCTTAGTGCCGCGCACATTCGTTTTGTTTGTTATATGAAAGGCCAGAGCTTCACGGATTGAGGGCGGTTCCTTTTCAAAATGCGGCTCTCGCCTTAGCGCCTCGCACATTCGTTTGCTTATTTGCAAAAGTTTCCCAGGTTCCCATGATCAGCGTATCAAACACGGTGTTTTGGAAGGATTCGGGATTATGAGGATGCAATAGGTACGTTGGTTCGCGGTGTTGAAGTCCCAGGAATGGCGTTCTGGTGCGACTCAGGATCGTCATGACGCACCAGTCAGGTTGATCCGTGGCGTTGGAATCCCGAGGCCGAGTTCCGGCATGCTTCAGGGTCTTCAAACGGTTGTCTTCCGACGAGGCAGTTCCCTCAGTGGCAACGAACCCTTGTAGGGGCCTATGAAAAGGGAGCTTGGAGGGAGGGTTTATTCCAACATCGTTAATGACTCTTGGGTTTACACTGGTCCTCCTCCTCCTCCTCCTCCTCCTCCTCCTCCTCCTCCTCCTCACTCCTTCATCCACCCTCTTCCTTGTCCATCACTCCGCATTCCTCTGTCTCCCTCGCTCCCCTCTTCGCTCATTTCCATGACGACACCCTCTCTTGACGACACCCCAGCCCTACCAACAATGCGGGGTGTGTACGTGAGCGGCCCGATGGGGGTGGCCTCGAGGGCGGGCAGTTGTACCTTGGGCGCCAGGCAGCCCCTTTAGGACAACTGGCACCGACCTTTGACCTTTTAGCGATGCGCCCCGCCTTCGAGGTATCATCGTACCTAAGCCAGGAGAACACCCCTCAAGAACATGAGACCCTCCGTCGGCCAAAACAGACAGAAGGTCCAAGGGTACCCTCCCCATGATGCACACGAACATCCAACACACACACACAGACACAACGAACACTGCTTGGGGCACCGTCACCGAACCGACCTCGATCTAATAATTACCTCGGTCCGACTGGACACCGCCGTCTCAGGTCTCAGGGAACACGCACGTTGCGCTGGACATGCCCGAGTGTGTGAGGCGGGCGACGCCCCCAGTCGCCCTCCTGCCTCCTCCATCGCCTCTGCGTCACTCCGTCCCTCGATCCGCCCCAGGGTTGTCGCCCCTCCGCTCCATCCATCCTCCTCGTCCTCGTCCTCGTCCTCGTCCTTCTCCTCCTCGAGCGGCAAGCCGAGTCTCCCGCCCACGTCGCCAATCACTGACCGCCGCGGGGCGCGAGGCGATGGCGTCGAGCAGCCACGCGAGACCTCCTCCTCCTCCTCCTCCTCCTCCTCCTTCCTTCATCCACCCTCTCCCTTGTCCATCACTCCGCATTCCTCTGTCTCCCTCGCTCACTCTCCTCTCCTCTCACTCATCTCTCCTCCTCCACCTCCTCTTCCTCCACCTCCTCTTCCTCCTGTTCTTCCTCCTCCTCCTCCACCTCCTCCTCCTCCTCCCCCTCCTCCTCCTCCTCCTCCTCCGACGACGACGACGACGACGATGACGACGACGACCACGACGACGACGACGACGACCACGACGACGACGACGACCACCACCACCACCACCATGACGGCGACGACGACGACGCCTCGCGTGAGGCCGGGGGCACCTCCCGCGACCCCCGTCGCCCGCCAGCGGGGGGGCGCAGCGGCGGAGGCGGGTCCTCTCTTCGTCGCTCAGCGTGCGGCGGTCGATGCGGCCCCCCACCGCCTTGGCGGCCACGCTGCCGAGGACCTCGCGGAGGGGAAGGGGAGGGAAGGAGGAGGAGGAGGAGGAGGAGGAGGAGGAGGAGGAGGAGGAGGAGGGGAGGAGGAGGAGGAGAGGGGGGGAGGGGGAGGAGGAGGAGAGGAGGAGAGGAGTAGGAGGAGGAGGAGGAGGAGGAGGAGGAGGAGGAGGAGGAGGAGGAGGAGGAGAGGGAGGTGGAGGAGGAGGGAAGGAGGAAGCAGGGTCGAGTTGTATGCTGCATCGTACTCAAAGACCACATCCCAGGAATAGTTTCGAGCACCCAGAAAAGTGTCGAAAGAGTGTCGAAACAGTGTCGGACGAGTGTCTCCCAGGGCCCGACACGTGAAAACCCTCGAGTGTTTGAAAACTCTCCTGGTGCTCGAAATTCTTTCTGGTGATCAAGGCTAAACCAGGTTGGAACATCATGAGTCGAGTTTATTTTGGGGCATTTGGGATCCTCTGTGGGCCTCCAGGGTCCCCTGGGGGCCCCGCGGGGCCCCTGGGAGGCTGGAAGAGATGGACTGGAGCACGGAGGCGAGAGGCCCCCCACTGGAAATCGAGGGTAAATCTGAGCCTTCGGGTTGGGTTGGGGTGGTCTGGTGGGTGGTGAGTATCGGAGGCCCGAAGTGCCATCTGAGCGACGACACGGCGCCCTCGCGCTGCGGCTTGCGCGGGCCGCCGGCGCAGCACGCCACACTGGGAAGGAGGGCGCTTACGCGAGACCCTACACGGGACGCGACGCTTACGCCCCAGCGTCGTTGAAGACGAGTCCGTTTTCCTCCGTCGCTCATATTCTGACCACGAAAAAACACATCCCCAATCCCAAAATCGCGGGTTCGCCGAGGATTCGAAGATCGGCCAAAGATTTCGGGGTATGTTTTGCGTTCGTCGTCGTCACCCTGGTAAAACCCTACCCCAAAATCTCCCTCCCCGAAGACTCGAGGTGTCTGCGCTTTGTTTTGGCCCCCGCGTTTTTGGGATTGGGCGTCTGTTTTGAGTTAGTGATATTCACCACCGTAATCCCGATCCGTCTTGGGCAGAAGCGACCCTCCCCCTTCTCCTCCACCTGCACCTGCTCCGGCGCGACCTCGCTCTCCTGGTCCAGACCGTCATCCTCTCCTCATCCCCTTCGCCTTCCTGTTGCTGCTTCCTGCTCTTCCTGCCCTTCCGGCTCGACCTCCTCCTCCTCCTCCTCCTCCTCCTCCTCGTCCTCCTCGTCCTCGTACTCTTCCTCCTCCTCCTTCTCCTCCTCCTCCTCCTCCTGCTGCTGCTGCTCCTCCTCTCCCGTCAAGCCACCATGCGGTCAAGCATTGACACTGCCGGCCACCGGACCCCAGGAGATCATCACTCCCCTTATGCAATCGAAACGGCTGTTAAATATTACAGAAGGATGTGCGTCAAGGTTGCAAGCCCATGTCGAGGCTCTTCGAGCGGGGCTGACCATCGAAAGTGGCTGAGGATGGACCTAAGAGGCCAGGATGCAAAAGTACCCTTGTGAAGGTCACCCATCTTTATCATCGGTTTCGAATATCCGAAGCTTCTGCCCCGTGCGCGCGCCCAGTGTGCGGCTCGTGCATAGCATGCCCTTGCTGTGCTGGGCGTATACTGCGGGACGATGCCCGCGCCGGCCTCGAGGTGACCGCCACGACGCCGATGAAACGCCGCCGCCGACGAGGTGGCGGCAAGGGGGAGGACGAGGACGGCGCTGCTGCTAAGTCGGGCGTGTCCCTCTACAGGAGGGATTTTCAAAAGCCGCCAAAGAAACTACGGGGACGATTCTTCTATTATTTTTGCTTAATTTCTGGGCATGTTTGAATACATTTCACTTTCTTCCGAAATCCTCATGCAGGAGGACATGCCCGAACTAACGCTACTGCAGAGGACGGGTATGAAGAGGGCCAAGTTTCAGCTGAATCAGTTCAAGCACCAGTTAAGCACTCTCAAGTGGACGGCCCTGTTTCTCATTCGAGCACCGCGCCATTCTCGCTCATTTTCCCGTGTCTCTTCATCGTGCTCCCCCTCGTGGGGACGCCGACAACTGAGAGAGAGAGATCCGACCTGATTCGGCATGCAATGGTCCGCGGCGAGCAAGGGGGGGAAGTGAGAAGGGGCGGGCCTGCTCAGAAGGCTCGGAAGTCCCCCGGCCTTCTGAGAATGTTGCTAAGCCCCCCCCCGACGACACGTAAAACATCTCAGAAGGCCGGAGGGCTTCTGAGATGCCCGGCCGCATTCTGAGAGGGCCTCCTCCTTCTCGCTCCTCCCCCTCGCTCGCCGCCGACATGATTAACAGGATCAACAGCGTTGGCGCCACCAGACGCCGTGAGCGCAGGGAAGCCAAAACACTGGGCTGCCTTAGGCGTCGAGCCTTAGGCGTCGCCGCCGAAATGGGGAGGGCAACTGAGCAGGGAGGAGGCTGAGGGCGTCCGACACCTCCCTCCCTGCCCGCCGCTCCTCCCCCGCCGATCCCAGGGCTTCCGCCCCGGCCCCTGTCAAGCCTCACGCGACGAGGCCGCGCACCGTGTCCACCGCCGTACAGGAAGATCAGGAGGAGTACGAGGATGAGGAGGAGGAGGAGGAGAAGGAGGAGGAGGAGGAAGAGGATGGAAATGAGGAGGAGGAGGAGGAGGAGGAAAAGGGGAGGGAGGAGGAGGAAGAGGAGAAGGAGGAAGAAGAAGAGGAGAAGGAGGAGGAGGAGGAAAAAGAGCTGGAGGAGGGGCATGACGAGGAGGAGGGGGAGGAGGAGGAGGAGGAGGAGGAGGAGGAGGAGGAAGATGAGGAGGAGGGGAGGGTGAGGAGGAGGAGGAGGAGGAGGAGGCGGCGGAGGAGGAATAGGAGGAGGAGGAAGAGGAGGAGGAGGAGGAGGAGGACCAGTGTAAAGCCAAAAATCATGAACGATGTTGGAAAAAACCCTCCTTCCAACTCCTTCTTAATAACCTTCAACAACGATTCATCTCCACTGAGGGGACTGCCTCGTCGGAAGACAACCGTGTGAAGATTCTGAAGCATGCCGAAAAGTTGTTCTCGGGATTCCAACGCCACGGATCAACCTGACTGCTGCATCTTGACGTCCATGAGCCGCACCAGAACGCCATTCCTGGGACATCAACACCGCGAATCAACGTAACTGCTGCACCCACATTTTTCGGAATATTTTCAACACACCATTTGTGATACGCTTATCATGGTAATCCGTGAAATTCTTGTAAATCTTATCACCGACTGTGCGCAGCGCTAAGACGGGAGCCACACTTTGAAAAGGAACCGCACTCAATCCGTGAAGCTCTTGCAAATTTGTACAGCGCATGTACGTGACGGTAATGCGAGAACCGCATTTTGAAAACCACCCGCCTTCAATCCGCGAACATCTGGCACTTGTTTGAAAACACATATGCGCGGCGCTAAAACGAGAGCCATATTATGAAAAGGAGCCGCCCTCTATTCGTGAAGCTCTTGGCATTGTTTAAACGAGTGCGCGCGGCTCTCAGGCGAGAGCCACGTGTTGAAAAGCACCCGCCCTCCATCTGTGAAACTGTTGCCATTTTTTAGCTTCAGGGTCATACACCAAGCGAAACGCCTGGTCCGCCCTAAACACTGTGGCCTCCGGGTGCGACAGGTTATGTTTAAGGACAAGGAATTGAGGAGGAGGAGGAGGATTTCAACACGGATTTCTCGAAGGTCAACGACAAAGGTTTAGGGCAAGCGGCCGCTCGCTGGGCCGATCTCAAACCTCATCGGAACACCCGTGGATGTCCCAATCGGTGGACTCGGCAGTGAAGCCGTTCTCGACACGAAACGCGCAATAATCCACAATGGCGTAGTCCGTCGCTCCCCTCAGCTCGATGGCGATCGCCTTTCGATGGTGAGTGGATTCGTCGTGCTTGTCGGTGCTTGGCGTGGGAGCGCGGCGCTGCGCCCAACCCTCTCGTTGGGGAGCGTCGGTCGGATTCGCGGCGTGTCGCCCAGCCCACTCGCTGGGAGCTGGTGGCCCCAGGCTGGGGCCAGTCGTCGTGCTGCGTCTTAACGGGCGAAGAACGGTATAAAATTAACCTTTTCGCTGTCGGGGGCGCCTGTCCCAAGGCGGCTGGAAAGTTTATACCGTTACGGTGGCACCGTAGGGGTATAAACTTTCCAGCCGCCCAGGGACAGGCGCCCCCGACAGAGAAAAAGTTAATTTTAGACCGTTCTTCGCTCGCTGAGCGTCGTGCAACGCCGGTCATGCCGATGGGTGCTCTTGTCCGTGCCAGCACCGCCGCAAAGGGCGGCCTCCAGCGGCGAGAGGCGCGAGAGCGCGCCGCCGCGGGAGCGGCCTCCAGCGGCAGACACGAGGAGGAAGCACATGTCCGCACCACCGTATGTGAAGGGGCCCTGGGATAACAAATAGATACACACAAATAAAACGATTCCCCACATTTTCCCATATTTTCAGGGTTTCTCTCTCCCCCCCAGTTCCCATATGTTCGCATATTTTCTAGAAGTAAGCGAATGATTGTGTCTGTGTGTTTTTTCCCCTCCTGAGTATGGGCGGCCTCCAGCGGCAGAAACACAACCCGACAAATCACCCAAACTGGGGCGGGTCTTAGGGCGACCCTCGCCCCGCCGCACCGCGCCGCCGCATGGCGGCCTCCAGCGGGAGGAGGAGGAGGAGGAGGAGGAGGAGGAGGAGGAGGAGGGGGAGGAGGAGGAGGAGGAGGAGGAGGAGGAGGAGGAGGAGGAGGAGGAGGAGGAGGAGGCAGGGACGAGGAAACGCCGGCCAAGATGGCGCAGTCCTTGACCGCGCCGCCGTAGGGGGCGGGGCGGCCTCCCGCGGCGAGGAACTGCCAGCTCCGCACAACTGCAAGGTTGGCATCCAGCTGCAGAGACGAGGAGGGCGCACGTGTCCGCGCCGCCGCACTGGCGGCCTCCAACGGCAGGAACAAGCCCCCGCCCATGCCCGCACCGCCGTAGGGGCGGCCCCCAGCGGCGAAACTGCCAGCGCCGCACCGCCGCAGGGGCGGCCTCCAGCGGCCGAG